CACCTCTCTCAATCTAGAAGCCCCACTTCTAGCTATGCAACCAAGCGTTGTGTTCATTGTCTTGACTGCTGGGTCACACTGCTGACTGGCCACCCCCTCTTCCTGTGCTCTTTCCCATCAAAACTGAAATTATTAACCCTTTTCAAATAAATTACTTTTTGGCATACACATAGCATATCATGCAGCAAATGCAACTGCCAGAAACAAAGCATCATATAGGAAAACTTATTTTTGAAGTATGAGAAAAAAGGGGCTAGGCCTCTTGAACAGCCTTCACAGCTGAAATTTCTGAATTTCTGTGGGGAGCTTGTGTGTACCGGAACGAACCTCACTTTGGCAAGGTGTTATGAGAACCACCCCCCTCAAAAAACAAACAAACAAAAAAAGACACACACACACACACTTCTGGAAAGCAGTCTCTCAATTTCACCTCCCTTCCCAGCTAGATCTTTGGAGCATCACTGGGATTCTATATGTCCCAAGGATTCCCTTGATTTTGCAACAGAGCTCAAGGTGAAAAACCTGTCTTTGAAATGGGAATCCCCTGACAAAGCTAAGCCACCTAATCTCTTACCAAAGAAATGAGGCTCCATCAGGCAGAGAGAACCATCCCTTCTCCTTAAGGCTCCAATAAGTCCCATTGAATTCAATAGCACCTACTTCTGTGTAGACCTACACAGAGCTGCTCTACACATCCCATCAAACATTTCCCCCATCCTATCCATTTACATACAGACTCTCCCATAACAAGGCATTCATAGAGACATCTGCTCCCTCCTCTTAACACTTCCAAGTTTAATCAACACTACGCCAGTAATAAAATTGATGAAGCCATCCAGCTGAGGAAGAATCTGAGAAAAAGAACCACATGAACAGAGTAGTGATGCTGCTCTACCTCTGAGATAAAGGTTATGGAGTGACTGTTGGGCCCTCTGTTTTTACCCAGAACAACTGGAAACGAAGGGATCTCCTGCAATTTGCTAGCTCAGGCCTGAGCAAGTCCATTAAACACATGCATGCATGCACACACACATAAACACTGTACACACTCCTTTCCTCCACTTGACAAGAACACACCCCAGCAGGCTGCAGGAGATTGCCTTGTCAGTATGGGGAAACACTCTGTGCCTGCAAGTTTGCAGGCACACAAGTCTCATCAGTGATGCTGCTACAGTGGACCAGGACTTCTTGGTCACTCAGTACAGCAGCAGGGATGTGAATGTGTGTGTGTGTGGGGGGGAGCTGCATCCACTGACCCCTGGCTGGTTCTGCCACTGGAGGATCCCCTGCTCTTGAGCACAACATGGTACTGCACTGCTCTTACAGTGGAGGCAATTCTAGATTTAACTGAACCTCTTCCTATTTTCAAGGTGAACTTGCCCAGCTAAGTGAGACAGCAGTCAAGTCATTAGGCCCACCTACAGAGAATTCCTCTCAACTCCGGCTCTCTTTCATTCCTTGTAGCTGCACAGGGAAGCTGGACTATGAAACAGCGTACCCGAAAAACCAGAAGCTGACGACTTCCAACTGGCAATCTGAGGTATGGAATCCTAGAGTGCTTGCTTCCCGCAGCTGGCAGGAATGCTCAGCTACTAAGACAGAATTCTCACTGGTATTTATTTATAGCTTTTATACACCATTCAGTTAGCAAACAAGCTCTCAGAATGGTGCACAGCCAGGATAAAAAGGATGTGAAAACATAACATATATACTTTGATGTCAGTAAGACATCTAGAACATCTATCAAAATGCCTATCATAAACAATTAACACATAATAATAATACAAAAACAGTGACTAATCCACAGTATGCAAATGACAATACAAATAAAACCCAATATAAAAACAAATAATCATATTTAGTAATGATTTAGGAAAGTAAAAAGGTTTTGACCTGGTGCTGAAATATATAAACCTGAGGAACTGGTTCCATGGTTGGGGTGCCACAATTGAGAAGGTTCTTCCCCTCATGCCCACCTTCCTTACTTCTTTTAAAGGTGGCTCCTGGAGAAAGACCTCCACTGATGACCTTAGAGTATGGGCAGGGGTGTAAGGGAGGAGAGGTTCCTTTAGATATCCAGGCCCTATGCTGTTTAGGGCTTTATAAGTTAATGTGAGCACCTTAAAGTGGGCCCAGACTTCAACTGGTAACCAATGCAGATGACAGAGAACAGAGTGTCCATGTTCATGTCTGCCCATCCCAATCAGCAGATGAGCCACCCTATGTTGTACCAACTGAAGTTTCTGGACTGTTTTCAAAGGGCAGCCCCACATGGAGGGCATTATAGTAGTCTAAATGTGAAGTTACCAGAGTGTGGATTATTGTGGCTAGGTTCAGCCTGTCCAGATAGGAACACAGTTGGTCTATCAACTGGATTTGATAGAAGATGCTCCTGGCAACAGAAGCCACCTAGGATTCTAGGGTCAATTCTGGGTCTAGGAGTACCCCAAGATCTGCATTCTGTCCTTTGGGGGAGTGCAACCCCATCCAGGACAGGGTAGATAGGACTGAAGTCCCCTCCTGGACTGAGGCTCCCCCTACCAACAGCACCTCCATCTTGTCTGGCTTAAGCTTCAATTTATTAGCCCCTTCCAGTCCAACACCCCAGCCAGACACCAATTCAGAGTTGTCACTGCCTCCTCTGGATTGCATGCAACTGAAAGGTGGAGCTGAGTGTCCTCAGCACACTGATGACACTTCAGCCCAAACCTCCAGATGAGCTGTCCCAGCAGTTTCATGTAGAAGTTAAACAGCATGGGGGATAGGATGGAACACTGACCTAATTGCCATGGGGCTGAGGTACTATTCCCCCAGTGACACCATCTGAAATTGGCTGGCTAGCCTGGAGCAGAACTCCTGCAGAGCAGTGAACTTCCAGCCCAACCAGTCTATCCAGAAGGATACCATGGTCAAGGGTATCAAAAGTCACTGAGAAGTCCAGAAGAACCAACAGGGACACACTCCCCTGTCTTTCTCCTGGCAAAGGTCATCCCACAGGGTGACCAAGGCAGTTTCAGTCCTGAAACCAGTTCTGAAGTCAGACCGAAATGAATCCAGATGGTCAGTTTTCTCCAAGAGTGTCTGGAGCTGCCTGGCCACCACCTGCTCAAGCAGCTTGCCCAGGAAGGGAATGTTGGCCACAGGCCTAGAGTTGTTGATGTTCACTGGCCCAGACTTGCCTTCTTCAGGAGGGGTCTGATCACTGCCTCCTTTAATGGAGGAGGGGCCAGTCCCACCTTCAGAGAGGTGTTCACATTCATCTGGATCCAAGACCACATTCCCTCCTAGGCTTTGATAAGCAGGTGTGAGGGGCAAGGGTTGAGAGTACAGGTGGTGGACCAGGCGTGTCCAAGAACCTTGCTCACATCCTCAGGCCTCAATAATTAAAAGTTATCCAATAAACAATATGCCACAAATAATTCCTCAAAATGAAATGTGTACTAACAATATAATTTTAAAAGATATGGCTTCTATGGAGATCTTTCAGTAAGTTTAGAAGGACAATTCAATTCATGCTGCCTGCTATTTATTTATTTTGCCTGTAGAAATTCAGCTGAAAATCCCTGCAGTGTTAGAGATCTTAAAGGAAGAATCTCTGTCATGTGAGGAAAAACAGATTTGTTGCAAAGCATCCTCCTTCCTGTAGCACTAACAACCCCATGCCTAAAATGCAAAGAATCACGCTGTTAGCTCAGCATGTCCAATGGGCCTCCGAATGCCTGGTCACCATACCACACGGCAAGCCATTCCTGAAATGGAGACAACTTAACAGAGTGGTTTGTAATGAGATTCACCCCAACCCACCCCAGAAATCCCACTGGGAATGCCTAAAGCCACTGCTTAAATTCTGGCCAAGACTGTGTTCCTACGCCCTGGAATTCTGGAGTGAGTTCCTCACTGATCATCCACAAAAATATCCCAAATGCTTTAATTTCTTGCACAAAATTTATGAGCCCAACATAAAAGGGAACTGAGCGAGTAGAAAGTAAAGTCCAGCTTGGCATAGTGCTAGGTTTATCTGTCTCTGGGAACTCCCTGAATTCACGCTCTGACTTAAAAGGATTAGCAATCATGCAGCACACAGTCAATAGATTTAGAGAAATCCCCAATATGGATAAGCCCAGCATGGTACCAAATCTTTCTACCCAGGCAGAGGGTGCAGCAACCATGTTAGCATGCTCAATACTTGCAAAGGGGTTGAGAACCAAACCTCTTGTCAGTTCTCAGAGCTGGCAGTCTTTAGGATGAATATTTTGGAGTCAGCGAGAAGGAGCATGGTTAGATTCAGTGCTAAGGCGTTTCTAGCAATGAAGAGGGTCCATTTCAACTTGAGTTTTGCACCACCTCATACCAGTTCCCAATACAACTCTTTGTATCATTCCTTTTGTGCTGTCAACCTCCATGGCACATTACAGAAATACAAGGGACAAGTCTTGCCGTACAAAATTCAACAGGGTGCAGGCAGAACTAGTACAGAAAAACAGAAGCAGGGATGAGTGAGTGAAAAAATATTTATTTCCGTTACCTTTACTTAAGAGTCAACTACAGTAGATATATGGGGTTAGGGGACTGTGCCAAGGGTTTAACAGAACCAGAGCTTTTGAGAAGGGATTTAAAGGAAGTAAGAGAACTGGCATCAGCACAGGTGGTTCTGGGAAGCTGTTCCAGGCATGAAAGGAAACAAAGGAAAGAGGATGGGGTCATCTGAGGGGCAGGGAAAACAAATACCTGACCAGATCCTTACATTTCAAAGCTAGAGCATATTGCACTGGTATCTCTGAACACCCACCATCCTTGACAAATTGTTGTCTTGATATCTGATAGAGAAATAATGCTGCATAACATTTCACAAAACTTATCTAGCATTATGAGTTTATATTCTGATAATTTGTAGAGTTCTGCGTTTTGAAAGCATCTGCATTTTGCTGCGCAGTAGCCAATGTTGAGGTGCTAATTACAAAAAACTCCAAAGCATAATTTCTAAGAATATAAATCTTTACCATATTCACCAAAGCGAAGCGACTCCCACTGCTGCCATTCAACAAGGGTGCTTACTGCCCGCACACCAGCATAAATTAGCAGCATTCCTAAGGTGGCATCTAGCAGAAAGTTGATAAAGTACCTAAGGGAATGAGGAAAATACAGAAAAGAATCTGAGGATGGATATATCTTAGAACAATGGAGCTGCAAGTATCAAAATCCACATTCTAATCACTATCAACCAGCCTCCTCACCTAGTTCTTATACTCTAACAGCACCTCCACATTTGCAAGCTTGATTTCCAGAAAACTGCATAATCACACAGTAATTTTCAGATCTGATGTTCAGCGCTGCACGTATATAGCCATCTAGAACACATACGAGTCTAGCAATGGAGTTGGAAGGCCCTGGATGTTATTGTACTTGGGCGACTTCTTTTGATGGGGTTATTATTTCGGTAGGTTCAGTAGCAAGTTGTAAGCTAAGATTTAAAATGTTCATTACTCTTTCAGTGACTACACAATACGGAAAGACACCAGTATTTGGAGAACTCCCATAGCCAATCAATCACCTCACCTCTCCTTCTGAACAGTAATTTTACTGTGCAATTAGGGTTGCACTGCACAACTATTTATTTTACCCAAATTGCTCCTTTAACCAGGACCTGCTGCTTGGGCAGCTTTACATTTACCATCTAAGCCTTCAGACTTGTGACAAGAGGGAGAAAAACAACACTGGGGGGAAGCAAGGTCAAGAAAGAAAAGAGGCCTGTGTTTCCCTCCCTCCTTTCTTTGATGTAAGAATCTTAAGTTCCAGCATTTATGTACTATAGAGACATATCATCCTCTCTTGATTTTGAGGGCAGAGACTGTCATTTCACAGATTAAGAACGAGTGAGCAAGTCAGATACCTCTAATGAAGTCCCTTACATTTGTAATGCTGGTACTGCAAGTAACAACACACACAAAGACCTAGTTTGTATGCTCTCCGTGGGTTAAACAAGCCACAATGGTTTAAGCTCCAGCTCATGCCGGGTACCGTTATCCTTACCACCAAGCACTGCCAACCCACCAGTGTGATAAAGTTGCTAGAGTGGCAATCTGGAAGCAGGGCAATTCAGATTCAGAGCCTTACTCAGCCATAAAGCACCCTAGGTGAGCTTGACCCAATCACTCATACACAGCATAACCTAACTTTCTGGCTAGTAGTCAGGATAAAAACTGGGCTGGTGGGGTGAAATATGGAGGCATGCACAGTCTGGTTAACCAAAATATACACTCTATGAACCAATTTTTCTGTCCCGTGTTTGTCCTGCTTGGTACCAACCTGAACTCTTTGGTAGAAGAAGCAGGATAAACACATGACAAAAGACACAATTTTTGGTTCCCAGACTGTACATACTGGTATGGAAATTTGTTAGCAGAAATGAGAAGGAGCTGCATAAGTGGTATTTTAAACACTTCGCTATAGAAAGAAAGAGAGGCTAGATGAATTAAGGCCTTTGGACTCCTCAGCTTTTGTGTTGCACAAATTTGACCTATTATTATACAAGGGGCCACCAGAGGTCACTGTTGTCTTGGATAATATCAAGCAGTGCAATTACTGAACAACTGATTGCTGGACCTTATTTTTCAACTGTTATGATTTAACTGCTTCAGAATTTGACAAGGGAAACATAATGCTGGGCTCATAGTCTGGATGTGCAGCTAGTTATGATAAACAATAAAATATAGCCTGCATTCTATTTATCAGCAGAACTTAAATGAGTCTGTACAGTAAAGCATAGTACACACACAGACATGCACTACTTACAGTGAACAAGGGTCCTCCTCTTTGGTAAGGTCTGATAAATACACATTGGCAAAGTGGATGAACAACATCCCTATGGCTTGTTTGGAAGTATCCAAAAACCTACAGAAATGTTAAAAAGCAAACATCACATTAAAAACTGCAGTTGCCCAGAGATCCTTGCCAAAAAATTCTAAGTTGGGGTGGTCCAACACTCAATTCCCTGAGGTCTTGTTCTGTGGTCCCCTTGCTGCTTGGAGCCCTCCCCCCACCTCCCATCAGTCTGGATCCCAGAGTTAGTACGGACGTGATTGCAGCAAGCTCTCCTGAGGCCACCGTCCCATCAGAAGGCTCAGGAAGAGAGCAGGCCGGGCTGGCAGCCTTGCAAGATCTCACCCAGCACGCCCTGTGTGGCTCCAGCTGATGAGTGCAGATGAGCAGGAGCTTCAGCAGGAGTAAGCAAGGCATGCTGGGAACAGTTCATTGGCTCAAGTACAAGAAGCTCAGCATGCCAATTCCAAGAAGGAAGGAGTGGCCAAGGGGGTCACATGGAAGAGTTTCTGGACAGGAAAAACGGGAGAAGGGCATGGGCCACCCCAGAGAATATGATATGGAAATGTAATTCATTGTGCAGCCTCCAGGTTCTGTGCTGAAGTCCTCAGGTGGTATGAAAAGTTGGAACGCCCTATTCTAGGTACCTGTAACCAACAGCAAGAAACGCCTTGAAGCAGCTATGAACATTTTATTTTTTGTGTATCTCACTTTTTACCCTAGCAGAGGATTTTTGGAAGCTTACTTGACTGAATGAAAGGGAACAGAATGCAAGTGAAATTAATCACCGCAGACTGTTCACAGCTAAATTCAGTTTTGCACTCAACATACGATTCTCATTATTTTGGAACAGGAATGTCAAGCTCACGTAAGTTGGAGGGGTAAACTTCCTATCCCATAAATGCAATCCTTCCGTATCCAGGGTATTCTATTTTATACTATATCCTCCCATATCCTCAAGCCCTTCAGCAGCACCAAGACTATCCTCAGTGACTGTTGTGAGCTGGGTTCTCCCTCCCATCAGTAACGATCTCGCCAGTGCTTCTTGCCAAGCATCTTCATTTTACACATAAGCCTATGAACAGATTCAAAAAGCAATGTTGAACCCTCTCTGGCCTCTTCACTCAAAGCTTTGCTTATGAATCCTTCTGCGCCTGTCCCTGGGGAGAGGACTGCTGTGAAACCAGGCACACCTTCACTCCTCCCTCTGAGATCCCAGCTGGGCCACTCTACAACGGTGATGATGGACTACTGGGTCCGCCTCCTAAGGAGGCTGGAGTTCTCCATCCAAAGGACTCCCCATCTCTAAATACTCCCACATCAGGGTGTTGCTGCTCTTCCTAGTTCCCACGGGTGGGTTGAATAGGCCCCTTGGCTGCCCTTGAACTAATCTCTTCCCTAGCAGGCACAGGTGGGTACCCAGGACCTTGGACTGCAGCTGGAGCCGAGTCTGTTTCAACAATCATCTCATTATCAGAGCCTGAGCTGTCAGCCCTGCTGCAACAGGCCAACTCCCCAACACTCATCGCATTCTCAGCATCTGAGCTGTCAAGTCAGCCAAAATGCATGCCCCTGAAGTTTGCCAGATGGTGCGCACACATCAGCTACCAGATACTCTCCCCTCTGTGCTGCTCTCCAAGCCCCTTTCCCATGCAATGTTCCTTCCAGTCTGGCTCTAATTTCCAAGTACAGGCCACAGCTTCCACCACCCCTTCCATGCCTTTCCAGTGTAGTTGCTAATTCAGGCAAAACAGCATGCTTCATGCTTTGTGAGGCTACCAAAACACTGCATTCCCCTCTCCACATTCCTTGACACCAGCGCTGCCTGCTAATTTGGAGAGAATCATGGAGGTGGCTGACACTAAGAAATGGGGAAGACATTTGCTCTGTTTACATCTTAATGTGAATAAATCTGATTTCACATTTTTGAATAATTTTTCAAACAAAAACTCAGCCTCTGAAATTTGTTCTTTGAATTCTGTAATTAATTACAAAAAATGGATGCAAAAAGCACATATTGGGGAAAACAATGTTCAAAAATTGATTCCTTTAGGAAAATTGTTTATAAAATGTGTATATTAGGTGCTTCATCCTAAAATTCATACATTAGGAGAACCGTGTGCAGAGATGCCTATGAATTTTCATGAGAACTTTTAAAAACAAAGTTTCAAAATCCCCCTGGGAAATTCTCCAAGTTTGAAAAGAGTCAAACTTAAGATTGAGGAAATGAAAAACTAAGAGTAACCAAAATTGCCAGATCCTTCCATTCCTGGCTGATTCTGGCCAGTGCCTACTGTGAACATCAACTGTAACCCACTAATGTTTCAGGAACTTTGTCTAAAGTATGAAAGGGGGGCACTGGCCATGCTGAGAATTCCACACACCCTGAGCAAGAAAAATCTCTAAAGAAAAGGCATTTTACTTCAGGAATTCTAGCAAATTGGTGGCAGGACAAGGAAGCAAATCATATTTGCTCTAATGAACAGGTAATGCTTTTATTTAATGTTTCCACCATTTAATCCTAAATATGGCCTTTGCATCCTGGTATTATCTGCTCTGTGTCAGACCATGAAGGTATGAAGGACCATGTAATACAACTGCCTTTTTCTTCTAAAAGGGATGAGCCAAGAGTTCACTTTCACAGACATCCCTGCTTCTGTAGGCATGCAGACTGCAAGACACAAACTAACACACTGCAGTCAGGCTGCAATGGCAACCATTTGCAATGAATTCTCAAAGATGAACATCTAGGAAAAGGTGACACACTCAAGGAACAATACTGAAAGCTCTTACCAAATCCTCCAAGGACGTCTTTCATGCTTTGGTTCTCTGAAACGTTTCACTGAAAGAAAATTAAGGATTATTAGTGGATTGTCAAAGTCACATCAGCTAACCCTTCAACAACTGAATATGCATACATTTCATTCTAAATAATCTTATCCACTATTCCAGAGCAAATTGCAGCTTAATACATAGTGATACCTTCACAGAATGACACCTGTGTTCATTACCAAGGTTCTCAGGAGGTACTTAGCTGCTAGATTATTTTATGTAAATACACAACACTTTCTCCTGCCTTTGCCCCTGATGCTTAAGTGCCTCACTTCAAACTGTCTGTAAATATAATGATCTCAAATCTAGAGCCACATGGTTTGCTTAGGGCAGTGCAAAACTGCTGAAATTAGTCATACCATTAAAAAGAAATGAGATATTTATGCAAACAAAACAACTCAAGAATAGAACAATTCAAGGCAGTTTGCCAAGAAATGGAAAGGTCACAATGAAAGCAAACACATTGTGAGCAAAGACAGTGTACTTATTCCTTGAAGTCGTGTGAATACTGGTGACATGGGAACTTTATAATGACAGCTTGAACTCATGAAAATGAGAACAAAGTGCAGAACTTGCTTTGAAAATGCCAGACTCTGGGGAGAAGCCCAATTGACTTAATGCAGTTTTGCACTAGCTTAGCAATCATCCTGAACTGCTAGTTTACATAAGCCTGCAAACAGACAAGCTACAGCTAGTCAACTGTCTCCATATCATTCAGCAGCCTTAACCTTCATAGTCACGAAGGTAGTCTGTGTGGCGCACATTCTTCGTGTTCCTTGGAAGTGAACTATGAAGAGGATGAGGACGTTGTAAAGCTAGCTCACAAAGACAAACAAAAAGAAACTCGCTGGGGTGCACGGTGGAGAGAATGGCGCATTGGAGCCATGCACAGGCAAGAGTTCTGCAATTAAATGTAGAAAATGCAAGGAGGCTGACATGGCATTTGGAAAACGCAAGGAAGCACTCTGCAGCTTCTCAGAATGCAATATAAACCAGACACAAAGGCACTGCATGAGGTGACAACGGAAATGCAAGATGCTTTGCCAAAAGTGGCAAAGTCCCATTGTAAACTTTTACCATAGTTTATCTTGGCTGGAGCAGGAGGCAAAGGACTGGCCCACCTTTTCTTTATCAGTATAATGTGACTTGCTCAGGAGTTAGATAGCTTTTGTGACAGCTATTTTACTTTGCTTGCCTTTCTTCCATCAGATTCTTTTACACCAGGGTGGAGAATTTTAAAGCCCTGGTCCCTTTTTGGTCTTCAGCTCTATCAGCCCTCAAGACCAAATACAGGATCAGCCTTAATTAAATTTATCAAGACCTGGGTAGTGTGGTTAGCTTTCTTAGTGAAGAAAACAGCTGTACACGACATACCCCATTACTCCCCGTTTTCCAACACATCAGATAATACATGCAAGCAAATTAAAGAGTTGTTTAACAGCACACATCCAAAGGTGATTGTTAAAGCCGTACTTTATGTGGAGCTTTAGCCCATGCTTAACACTCCGCAAGGGCTTTAATCGCTGTACAGACCGATTCGGCATACATGGAGAGCCTATGTGATTACTGCTAGGAAAGTGGATCCCATGGCAACATTTTAACTAGTGATGCACTTAGACTATGGCAACAGATCAGAGGAGATGAGAAAGCTGAATACCACAGGAGTAATTCCTTGCTGCCAGTTCTCTTTCAGATAAAATGCCCTGTCTTTGCAGAAATGGCACAATAGTCCTTATGATTTTAATAAGTGTTTCTCTCAACAGGACACACCTGCTGAGAGACTACAGACATAGGACCTGTCTCTATCCCACTCAAGACCAGGGGAAAGGGTTGTCTGTGAGCAAATATTTATGTAGAACCCAGCCCATTCCTGCTGCTCTAGCATAAACTTCTAGCAGCTTTGGTGAGGGCAGTGCCTACAGGGATGGGCTGGCAGAACTAACCTGACCACATTTCTCAGAGGGTGGCACCCATCAGTCCCCATGGGTGTACTTGCCAGGCCCCTCTTGAGACTTCAAGAGACTTCCCCCTGCCCCACTGTCTTCATGAGGAAGCAGAAGGAGATGAGCGTGGTGGTGGTGGGTAGAAAAAAAAAAAAAACCTTGATTGGGGAGAGAGATGAAGAGTTAAAGAGGACATTTTGGGGAAGGTGAATGTGATGGTATAATGAGGAGGAGGAATCTCAGACACGGAGTGAAAGGAAGATGAAATTCTAGAAAGCAGGGGCAAGAAAAGAGGAGATCCTGACGAAACATGGTTCCAGTGTCAGGTTTCCACAGGATGAACGCATCTTCAGGTCTCCCCAAAAATGACAAATGTGCCCATGTGGCCAAAAAAACCCCCTTGCCTACCCTGTGGTACAGCACATAGAGGAAGGAATTATAATGATCGACTGTATTTTGAATCCACTAATCTCTACAATGTACAAGCTCATTTGCCATCAATAGCGAACATTTTCAGGGACAACTGATTTGGGGATCAAGAAATGGTCTCAAATTTTACCTTGTGGAACCCAACCATTTCTCTCTTGTTCTATGATCTCGGAAACTTTGTATTCTGCTGAGATGGATCTTCCTGAGCCCTGACTCTCTAACTCTATCCACATGATATTTGGAATGCGTGTAATACTAAAGAGCCTATACATTTGGAGCTTCTTTTTGTAAGACGAAGACAAAGAGATGGTGATACCTAGTGACTGCAGTGCCACTTTCAAGTCCTTTACCTTTCCCAGGAATTAGAGCTGGATTAAAAGTCACTGCTGCATTGCTTAGAGTAGGGGTGCAACCCCTGGGTGTGGGGACCAAATCAAGCCCTCCTGGACTGGCCTCAACTACCATGCCTCCTCCTCCTAGTTTAACCTCTTCTTCTAATCAGCAATCATTGGGTGGCTTTCCAGCTTTTGTCCACCTTTTCACTATTCTAAAAAAATCGATATCTCTCTCCTAAGGCGTAGCTACTGGCAGAAAGAGGTTTAACCTAACATTTGCTGACATTTCAGCATCACCACTTTTGCTCTGGCCACCCCCACCCCCAAGAGCTGCTCCAATATCGAATCCAAGCCCTTGTGCCAAAAGAAGTGCAGCACACCTGGCACAGAGTCTTCTATTGTCTCCATGGTTGGGACACACCTGGTGAAGAAGCTGACCTGGAGAAGAAGAGGTTCGAGTTTTTTCAGATTTCTGCTTTGCAGGGAAGACTCATGCACCCCATCCCTAGGCTTGTCAGGAGGCGGCTCTACTTGCAAATTAAGGACAGTGCAATGCCACAGTCTCCAGTCTTATTCTCCATGTTTGCTCAGCTCTTCCTGGCCATTTTTGAAGTGGGTCCAGCAATGACAGCTGTGGCAGCTGGTGCTTTCCCCACACCGTGCTGCCTTAACCCAAGATTCCCTATCAGCCACAGCCTTTCATTTAGTGCTGACTGATGAAGCAGGCTGTTATGCTATGGATCTTCTTGGCCAGGCATATTACACATAGATGATGTCCAATAATTAAGCAAACTTTTCCCTCCATTCCTCAAACTTTCTGAAATTGATTTGTGTCAAACACATCCCAGAACTCAGGTTTTCATACAGTTATTGTATCCAAGGGGGCCACAGGTGTTCAAACCCTCCTCCCCCCGGTAAGACTAAGATGTTCAATGTGCCACCTTAGAAGGAACAAGAACTGTTCCTTTGGTGCAACAAAAAATAAAATGGGGGTACAATGTGCACTCTTTCCCTTAGCTGAGGAAAAAATTGACTCTAAGAGAGGCAGGACCTCACTCTCAGAAGTTCAGAAGATCGTGCCAATTGGCCTTCATGTATGTACTGGGCCAACGAAGGAGGATCCTCAGTCATACTTTGATGAAGCTCTTACACGTATGATGTGGCCATATTATGTCTGCACTTTCAAAATTGTCCAGAATGTGGGTAAAGTTTTGGAACCATCATGGATATTTTATAGAAGTGAGAATCAGTCTTGCCTTTAAGAAAAACATGTTTCAGTGTCTTTAAAAACCACAAAACAAAACCCACCAACAGTGTCATAATTATGACAGCTGAGAAAGACTAGTAATCTACACTTGAATTTGCCAAAAATCATTTTCCTAAAGTTACAGCATATTAACCCATGATAAAAGTGTTTGTATTCTCCTGTGTTTCTATATCGCACTGTTATGTGGCAATGGAGCATTCTAAGCTGAGAGTTTGCATCCTGTAATTAGTTCTGTAGTGAGACTGAATGATTATGAAGGCAGCCATATGTAACAGCTGTTGCTTATGAAATGAATGCTAATCAGAATCTTTGCAAGATAATTCAACATGGCTTTTTCTCAGATAGTTATTCTGTAATTTTGTAATTCTATTCATGCCAGATGTTCCGGACTTCATTTCCCAGTATGCCTGATTATCCACCATGCTGGCAAAAACTTGAGAGTTCAAGTTTAAAATATCTAGAGATCTACTTCTGACCATACCTGGTCTCTCCCATGGAGACAGTAAGTTTCTTGGTCACTTCTTTACTACAGCGCATCTTCTTGAACTCCAGACCTTCTGGAGACATTGGGCTGGATGTCCCACCACCCCCAGACACCACCACAATTGACAGAGGCCAATGCCTTTGGAGGGCAAGGAGCTGGAAAAGTTAGACTATCTTATTAGAAAATCAAAAACAAATATAAAAAGCATCATGATATAATAAACTTGACTCTACAGTTAAAACAAACAACAATAGTTTTACAGATGGCATGGGACTCCATTGTTTTTGCCAGTGAGGCAGGTTTTCTGGAAATGTGAACTGCAATTGTTTTTGGGGGAAAAATCCTATGCAAATAAGGATAATTTACAATGGGTAATTTGTACTGCAAATTGTTCAGTCTGTATCAGTAAAATAGGCTAAATTAGCTCACTCTAGAGAGTGATTTACTTTAGAATGTTTATTTACTTTTATTTAGCAAACAAAAAACCAGCCCATGTATATTTTTGTCCCAGTAAACCACAAGTATTGCAACTGAAATATTTGACCGGGGGAAATTAAACCACACTTAATATGATTTCCAAGTTTTATTATGCAGACATCTTTAATGGAAAGCTTATACTAATTAAAAGACAGTGACATGTACTTCCCATACATTCTTTAAATTTAAGGGAGAAAATTGGAAGGCACTGAAAACTGTTGACAGAGCAAGGACACAGCCCTACAGTTCTGAGACTGCTCCAATTTTTCCCCATACAGGCTGCAGACAGAACTGTGAGCTTGGGGATGACCTACCCACCTGGCTCTTCGGCCCCACACACTCCCAACTGCCATGGCAGCTCCTCCTCGGAGGCTGCTGTCACAAACTCATGAACTGCGGAGGGGAATGTCTTTTGGCGTTCTTCTCATTTTGCCCATGCCTGCCTAGCAGGAAGCCTCTGAGACTAGATACCTCCATATATCGCATGGCAACCCAAGGGTTCCAGTCTCATATACCTGAGCCACCAAACCACTGCATGAAAAGCTGACAGACTCTCATATACATAAGTTTTTTCTCACATTTTTCTAGGGATAGTCACTTGAAAAGCACTAACTACAACTTAGAAACTGCCAAATTTGCCTAATATTGCATTCGCAGTAGCATCTATTCACTGTTACTAATCAACTCGTGAAAACTGGAATTTTACCATTTGGGGGGAAAGTATTAGATGATTTCCTGCCCCATGTCACTGGGTTTTGCTGCAAAAGTCTAACCTGGCTACCTTACTGGAATAAAGGGGGTGTCAAATTCTTACATAAGTGTTCATTAAAGTAAGGCGTACTTCATTGTATTAACCTGGGTCTCTTGTGCTCACGGAACGCAGCTCTTCCTAAGTCATGGACTTTACACTTCCCTGTGGGAACAGCTTATCCTCCAGTCCAACTAGGAGCAGAGTTTTGCTCAACTATGAAATAAATGGAAAGCCTGCCATGCGTGCACTGACACCTGCAAAGCTCTGGATAGGGCTACATGAGTAAAGGCATTTTATATCTTCTCAATAGAATTGAGTTTATTTTCCTTCAAATTTCTACAAAGTTCTCTCTAAGAATATAAAAGTACTTCCCTAAATAAAAAGTCAATGCCTGTTAAAGGTCTGAAACTTTTGGTCCAGACTTACTTGATGCTGTTTGCATAGTTTTTGTAACCAATCTGTCACTTCACTGTAAGCTTACGTACATCAGCCATGGCACAAATCATAAACTGGCACATACATGCAAAAGATACAGCAGAACATAAGAGGCTCAAAGGCAGGGAGGAGCTGAAACAACCCATACAAAAACAGCGCAAGTGACCCTTTGGGTTCTGACAACTGGGATCCTCAGTGCGATGCCTATGGGGACCTCTAATAATGTTCCTGAAGCTCTCCACTCCCTGGCCCCTCCGAAGAAAACACTTTAAATCAGGGGTCTCAAGCTCGCGGCCCGCGGGCCAATTGCCAGGCCGGGCGGGGCACGGGGAGGGGCCCTGCAGCCTTCAAGCGCCGGCCTCCGGGAGCCACGCGGATGAGCGGCCCACCACTACCGCCTGATGCGGCCCAGCCTCACCCAGACTCTACTTCCAGCGGCCCCCAGGGAAGTTGAGTTGGAGACCCCTGCTTTAAATAAAAACCTTGGGAAATGCTAGGGTTGTCTTCTTTGTGACCCACCCTTTGCCTTGCTATTTCTCCCCTCCCTTTCTCCCAGCCTCACTAATTCTTTACCCCTACACTCTTTAGTGCATTTTGCCTTCCCAGATTCCCATCACAGCCAAGATGTGACTAGCCACATGCTCTGTGGTGGTGCTCACTGCAGTTTCTCAAATCCCCAAACTGTTCACAGGTCCAAAAAGGCTGGTAATCCCTGGACGACAATGCAGTATTGTGCACAGAGATGAGGCTATCTTTACAATGTGTGTTTAGATTACTTGGGTTACACCCGAGGGTACTTTGGGAGTTGGCAGGGGTACTCGCACGCACACCAGCCTCCATTTTGGAGACCTCGTGGAGAACAGGTGAGGATCCTGAGGCCTGGAAGGTGGCATCAGTGGTCCCAATTTTCAAAAAGGCTAGTAGAGGGGACATGGGGAATTATAGGCTGGTTAGCCTTATGTCCATTCTAGGAAAGACAATGGGAAAGCTCATAATAGCAAGAGATCCGGTAACCCTAGATAGGGAAGGGAGGTTGGTGGCCACACAACACGGCTTCTACAAAACCAGGTCCTGCAAGACGAACCTTGTGGAATTTTATAACAAGGTTTCAAGGTGACTAGACAGAGGGGATGCAGTGGATGTGGTTTACCTGGATTTCAGCAAGGTTTTTGAAAAAGTGCAGCATGATACCCTGGTTGAGAAATTGAGGAGTTTGGGGATAGATCGATGCACTGTCTGATGGATTAGGGCATGGTTGACAGACCAAAAGCAGAAGGTAACTATTAGTGGGGAATCATCAGGATGGTGGCCAGTGATGAGCGGGGTCCCCAAGTGCTCTGTCCTGGGACCAATCCTGCTCAAACCTTTCATCATTGACCTGGAAGAGGGGGTAACCAGTCTGCTAATCAAATTTGCAGATTATACTAAAATGGGGGCAGTTGCCACAACTGAGAAGCAGGTGCTCTGGATCCAGAAGGATCTGGACAGACTACTGAAGTGAGCAGGGGACAACAGGACGGCGTTCAGTGCGGATAAGTGCAAGGTCTTGCACTTGGGGCATAGGAATGGGTGTCATAAGTACAGGTTAGGGGACAAGTGGCTGGTCAAGAGGGCAAATGCCACCCTTGGTTGCATAGCCAGAAGCGTGGCTTCTACATTGAGAGAGGTATTACTACCACTCTGTATGACTCTGGTGCATCTGCAACTGGAGTACTGTGTTCAGTTCTGGGCTCCACATGACAGGAAGGATATAGCCAGGTTGGAATCGGTGCAATGTAGGGCCACAAGGATGGTGGCCGGATTGCAGGGAAAGCAAAACTGAGGGAACCGGGTCTTTTCAGCCTGGAGAAAAGGAGACTCCGAGGGGATCTATTGCAGACATATAGGTACGTGAGGGGGTGTCACACAGAGGTTGTTAGACATCTTTTTTCTCCTGTAGAGGAGGGCAGGACGCGTTCCAACAGAGCAAAGCTCAAGGGAACCAAGGTTCAATTTGGATGCCAGGAAGTACTTCCTGACAGTTAGGGCCCCAAGGGTATGGCATGGACTTCCACAGGAGGTGGCTGAAGCCCTATCAGTGACGGTGTTCAAGGATGGGCTGGACATGCACATGGTCAGCATGAATGAATGGAGCCAGATGGAGCCGGGGGACAGACTAGATGGCCTGGGAGACTCCGTCTGACTCACTCTTCCAAACTCTGCTAGTTTCAAATTAAGATATCCATCTCCTGGCATACACCAAAAAGTGTTGTTTGCATACACAGCACCAAAAATCTTCAAAGTAGTAAAGTGAATTTGAGACCTGCCAACAGACGAAATGTGAGCTGCCAACTGGAGAGGCATGACAGAAGGAAATAACATGAATTGGAAAACAGTCTGTTTTTTCCTGGAAGGAAAAAAAATGAGACTACTCCATTTCTCATTTGTTGAACAGGGTTCACAATCCAAAGAAATTGCAAAGAGCTATTTGAAAATTCATCACCTTGCAATTCCTCTAGCAAGATTCTGATATCATAAGCTCAGGAAGAAAAGTCTCCAGAAGAGATAAAAATCCCATTTCCACATGCTTGAGTCATTTTTACTTGGCATGTTCTAATTTCTATTGAGTTGGAAGAAAGCAAAGCTATCTTTTGGTTATTACCTATAAATGGGTAAATGGCTTGGAAGCAGGTTATCTGAAAGACCACTTCTTTCTGTACAAATCTGAACTATTTTCAACAGCTGAGGCCCTTTTGTGCTTTGCATTGCAAGATCAAGATTCTTATTTCATTTTTTATATCACCCTGCAGCCCAAAGGCTCTCTGGGCGGTTTACACAGTCAAAAACTAAATAAAATACAAGAAACATATAATAACGGCACAATAAAATCAGTAAATAGTTGTAATTACAACAAACCCAGAGCAGCCATAATCAAACTGACATGTGGGCACAGCAGTCATATATGATAAAAATGCAAAATTAAAACTAGAAATTTAACAGTTAAAATGCCTGGAAAAAAAAAAGGTTTTAACCAGCACCAAAAAGAAAAGGGAATGGGAGCCAGGCATACCTCTTTGGGGAGCTCACTGTATAAATGATGTGCTGCAACCGAAAAGGCTCTCCTGGTTGCCACCTTCCTTACTTCCACCAGAGGGAGTTCCCCAAGAAGGACCCCAAAAGATTAAATTAAGGCCAGGTGCGTACATACGGGATCCTTCAGATAACCTGGCCCAAAGCCATTTAGGACTTTATATGTTAATACCAGCACTCTGAATCAGGCCCAGGCATCAACTGGTAGCCAGTCAGCTGAAAGAGGACTGGGCTATATGATCTCTTAAAACATTCCCCGTTAACAGCCACACTACCCTATTTTGAATCAACTGAATGTCCCAGACCACTTCCAAATCAGTCCCATTACAATAATCCAAACAAAAGGTTACCGGAGAGTGGATTACTGTTGCTAGGCTCTGCCTGACCAGAAAGGGTCATAGCTGATACATCAACCTAAGCTGAAAAAGGTGCTCTGTGCACTTGTGACTCTAGCTGCGCTTCTGGGTCTATGAGCACCTCCAAACTTTGTCCTTTGGGGGGGGTGCAACCTTGTTCAGAAAAGCTTGAACATTTTCCAACTGGACAGATGACCCACACACCAACAGCAGTTCCATCTTGCCTGAACTGAGTCTTGCTTTACTGGCCTTCATCCAGGACAGCTACTGCCTCACCTGGGTTGGATGAAAAAGAGAGGTAGAGCTGAGTGTCATCTGCATACTGATGGCTTCGCAGCCCATACCTCCAGGTAACCTCTCCTGGTCGTTTCATACAGATGTTAACGAGCATGGGGGACAGAATGGAGCACTGTGGTACCCCACGGCATAACTGCCATGGTGCAGAGCAAGTCCACCAGCACCACCTTAAGGAATCGGTCGGTCAGGTAGGAGTGGAAATACCGCAAGGCAGTGCCTCCTACCATCACCCCAACCAGCCAATCCAAAAGGATAAGTTACTTCACTGCTCAAGAGGGCTCTCACTATAAGGAACAGCCACCAGCCAAAAAAGTCAAAATTTTAGTTGCAGGGGACAACTACAGATAAAGTGAGAAAGATTTATAAAATTAAGAATCATGCAAACGTATTTTTTAACAGAACTCAAGTCATCCAATGAAATAATTGAGTATACGATCCAAAAGCAAACTATTTCATGCAATACTAAATGGGAAAAAGAGCATTGAATGGCAAACAGGCAAATATCAGAAGTATCACCATGAAAGTCCTCTTTTGGAAGGCTGGGGCATCATCAAAAGGACCTCCTCTTCCACTCTCCCTGGGCAGGCAGGACAAAGGAGGAGAAGGCATTCTCTTCCCAGTGTATGCTTCGGACCAGCCTGGAATGCTCCAGAGGTTTGGTATCTGAGGTTTTATGATTTCTTTTTTACATAGTGGGTCATTTGTGCCTCAGGCAAGATGGAAGTGCCTTAGGCAAAAAAAAAAAAAAAAAGCTGCATAAGAAAACCTTAATTTCCCCGCAGAAGCTTCTGATCGATCAATATAAGAATGGCCTTCAGCACTCAGCAAGTATAGACAATTTTGGGCTTAATCCTTCCTGAGGCAAGAAGCAAGAAAATGAGCATAATAAGACTTCACCCATTGATATTCTTCCTATATAACACTTTCGCCTAACTAAAAAAAAGGGGGAAAAAACATAGCAAGGTTTCCTTCAATGGATTCTAATTGTTTGCTAGAGGCATTAACTAAGAATTTTAGTTTTAAAAAGAGATCAAGATGGTCTCTATCGAAAATACTGTTGCTCCTTTGTTTGAGGCATATGCAGCTGGGGGTGGGGGGCATAAAAGTATCCCACAGAAGTATTTCTGCGGAGAAATAGACGTACCTTTGGGCCTTGTCATGTTTTGGATTTATATAAAACAAAATGTAAGAGGCAGGAGGCTGAAATATGGGGACTTTTTAGGCCAGGCTCTTTGTGACAATGTCTTGGAAGGGCAAACCTGTAGGACCACTAATGCATATTTTACATACAGAAAGTGAGCTAGGGCAGTGGTTTTCAACCTTTCCACAGCTGGAGACTGGCAAAAACAGGAAAACCACCTCGGGACTGTTAAGGCAGAAACAAAATGCACCATACACACAATAGAGTATTCTGTGCATTAGTTTCCAAAGACAATACCAAAACAAACAAACAAACAAACCTCCAAACAACCATAAACCAAGCAACAAAAAAGCTAACGAACAAAATACCAAAATCGGTAC